GAAAACCTTTACTACAGGCTGAGGATATTCAGCCCTGCTTATCGTACGATGCCTTCAGGCAATGAAACTGAATAAAGCTCTTTCGACAGAAGAGTGAACACACAGAGCTCATTATTCAACAGTTATGTGTGATTCATTGGTCATGCTGTAAGACACTTTTACAATGAGTTACAAAAATCCCCCTAAACCTGGTGATATATTTATGGATGTATATTCAAGTGTATCTCTTATTTTCGTTCTTTGATTAATTTAACAATAATTATTCATTCAGGTGTAGCATTCATGTTGCTGTCCAGTGCTTTATGTTTTTGACGATGGCTCACGGCCCGTCCACACAGCGGCTTTAGAAAAAGCTTGCCGGCGGGCGTGTCTGAAGCTCGACCAACAACCAATCACATGAATCTCCCGCCCCTGACACACAAGCAGCGGTTTGATTGGCTAGAGCTTGTACTGGCATATGATTCGATTGGCTGACTCTTCCAGCGAAAGCTTCAGAAGCTTCAAAAGTTGAACATTGCTCAACTTTTGCAGCCTGAAACGCCAGGAAAGCTCCGCTCTGCTTCCCACAATGCAGTTCGGCGAAAAGTGACGTCACCCCATTCAAAGTGAATGGGCAGAAGCGTTGGAAGAAGCTTCCAAAGCCGCTGTGTGGACGGGCCGTAAGAGTCCAGATGGTGGCAAAGTTCGAAAGCTAAGGGATGACTTAAATTGTAATAAATCATCCTGATGGGAGCAGGAACATCTGTACAGAATGTCATGGTAAATCATCCATGTGTGAAGTTCGTGGCAGTGCTGTGAACTTGTTGGAATTTCCTTTTGTCCAATTTTATTTGGGATGTTGAGAATATAATCCCTCCAATGTGTTGGCACACTCAGTTTAATCTCTGTCTATTCCTCTTGGGACCATGACCGTCATTTTGTGTATGTTTTGGAATGTGTTCTTTTCTTCCGTTATATTGATCCATGTCTCTTCTAGACCTCACAAATGTTAATAGGACTGAATTAATCCTACTCAGATACATTTGTTTGGGGTTGTGGCGCTCAAATATCCACACCAGCTGCCTGAATCACCCCAAATGTAACGCTGTGTCTGGATGTGATTCATGGTGATTCACCGTCACGCCTGGCCTTGCCTGGTGAAAAAAAGTGAAGTTCATGGAGTTCATGAAGTTCATTTGCCAAAAACCTCCTTTAAAGAAAATGTAATCCCACCAATGTGTCCTGAATGACCCAGGTCTCCAATGACGGTACAGAAAAGCTCAAAGCCTTGACTTTATTGTCTAACGTAAGGATGTGAAGTGGTGAATTTAACTGAATGTCTGGTGGTGGGAATGAACCCTGTAGTTTAGCCGTGTTTGAAAAAGACACAAGACCGTTTAATGATGCGTACGGAGAGCAGGCATTAAAGCAAACCCCTATAAAAAGGAGATTTCTCATTCTCAAGTTCTTAAGGATGCAAAAGATCTGAAACATGTATTCTCCTCTAACAAGGCATTAGGTGCATACTTGCCAACAGCAGAAAAGATGACAAGCAAACTTACTGCAATCATATGTTCAGTGTTGGTATTTTTTTCTTCTTGCCAATTCAGACCGATCCACCTTCCTGTACCGTGGCTCTTGTACACTGATGCTACGGGAGAAAATAAACAACCCCAATTATGCTAGCAGCCTCTTGCCAGCTGGGAAGTGAAAGGTGGATATTTACAATTTCTCCCACGATCTCACCCCTTCCCTGCAAGTATAACCATAGATGGAATAAGACAAATACAAGATGCCTCACTGGCTTTCCACCAGTGAACACAGCCATATTCAACCACAACGAGGAATTAAACCTGTATCTCTGACGTGTTATTAAAGTGCTTTGCCCTTATTTCTGTGGTTATTGTGTGCATTTACCGTCATATTTTGGTTGTTCACTCATTTATTCACCAGCATGTACATTCTAAGCACAACAGCTCTGTCCTTATACTGATGAATATTTGATTGAGGTTTGTGAAACCTGAAAAACGTCTTATGATGCTGTGGTTATGAAATCAACTGTAACCATGCACGACAACAGGGAACAAACCTCCACGTTCCTCTTTTATCTGCCTCCTCATTGTTCTGCAGCGTGAACAAACATGCACGCTGACACATTCTGGATTATTCCATGCCCAGGTTCACAGATGGCTTACCACTAAGACACAAACAAACAGACACACTTCTCTTCCTCTCTTTACTAAATGTGAAATCATCACATTTCCTCTGCAGCCCGACTCACAGCTGTTAGAGCAAACCCGCCTCGCATGACTCTTGGCAAATACTCCATCCCAGGTCGTGGGATTCGCTGAGTTATTCCGCTGTCGGACGTTAAACTCCTGATTTTCCCAGACTTATGTGTCTTAACTTGGTGAAATGCTCAAGGTGCACGATGACTGTATATGTGATTATCCAGAAGGCAGGTAAATGCAGTGATTGATGAAAAACCAAATCCTGAAAGATGGATGAGTAACCCAGCTGTGTTAATGAGGGGGTTTGAGAGCAATGTGTTGACTGCTGGAACCACAAGTGCTCGCAAATAACATCGCTTAAGGGGTTTCATGGCTTTTTGGTTAAGGATGTGTGTGGGTTGGGGGGGTGGCGCAGAAGCAAGATGGCACAAAAGATCAACCGTTTCCCTGTTGGATGCTCATTAACACCCAGAAGGTTAAACACAGGGGAGAACACATTTGAGTAATTAGTCTGCCTCGCTAGCTTTATCACAGCTAATCTTTTGACACTGAGCGAGCAATTAAAAGAGGACCGATTATGCTCATTTTCAGGATTTTCATATTTGTTGTCTCTACTGTGACATGCTATAATGTTCAAAAAGGTCTTTATTTTTGTCATACTGCCTGTGCTGCAGCCCCTCTTTTCACCCTCTGTCTCAAACCAGAGCCCAGTCTGCTCTGATTGGTCAACCGCTTAGAGATATCCCGCCCCTTAGCCTATCACGTACAATGTGTTCGAGTGCTAGCCAATAGAAGCGGGAGTGTTACATAGTGATGTCATTGTGTTCCGAAAGTAAACAAAGGAGTTCAATGGAGGCGTTTCAGATGGGGAAAGTGTGTGGGAGAGAAACTCCCTGGGATTTTAGCCTTTGCAGACCATTCACATGCACACAAAATAACACACTACAGGAAAGAGGAAACCCAAAAAAGCAGAATAGAGCCTTTTTAAGCTCGACACTAGGATGTAACAGTCCCGTTACGCCTGTCCTTCAGTTATATTTGTAATCCATTTATCTGATGGGATTCAAGTTACCCATGTTTTTTTCACTCTTCCTCTCTGGCTTCCTAAAGCTCCATTCATCCCTTTGATAGTGGAGTAAATAAAACTGTGATGATGCAACATGCAGAAATGTTGCCAAGGAAACAGAAGCCAAGAGGAAATTTACTTTTATTGCAGCCACGCAACTTTACAACACAACCTGTCTGCCTGCCTTTCAGACGATTTATATTCTCTGCAATAATGTAATTAACTCTTCAGTGACGCAATAGTCAGACTACAGCTACTGTCATTTTTATAGCAAAACCACAGCTGATCAATCAAGCTTACACATCCCTCTTTTAAAATACTCATCATGTAATTTCCAAAATGGTAAGTTTCAATAAAGAGCCAGGTGGATAGTGGGAAACATTCAAATGCCTCCCAGGTAAAAGTAGTATAATCCAGAGAGAGATGTAGTCTGTTTTTCTTCTGTGGTATGCTGTGTGTGTGTGTGTGTGTGTGTGTGTGTGTGTGTGTGTGTGTGTGTGTGTGTGTGTGTGTGTGTGTGTGTGTGTGTGTGTTAAGTGTAGGTCTTATAACAGTGTCATCTTATGATTATTAATCATTTAAAAAACACATTGAACATAAGCAGACAATTGAAGGTTCCAACGTGTTAACAAACACAAAAGATGTTTACATTTAGTCCATCTCTTCACTTATAAAGGTGATATAAAACCAGACTCTTACACACTTAAAAAAAGAAAATAACTCCAGCCACATTTACATCCATATTTTGCTGCAAGTATAGACTCGCAAAGTGATTTGTATTTCCTGTGTAATTAATTCAACACAACAATAACATTATCCCTTTACAAGTGCGTCCAATATTCACAAGATTGATAAATGCTAAGAACACGCATTCACAAACCCTTCCACTACATCAGTTCCTCTGTCAGCCAGCAGAGAAATAACTGAGGCTGAACAAACAGGCTCCACTTTTATAATGTGAGCAGTCAGTGAGTTCCTTTGGGTTTCACCACATTTAAAAAACCCAAGTTGAACCACTAACTTTTGTTTTTGTTTCTTCCCCACTGCGGGAAAGTGCTTGAAGGCGGCAAATGGAGCTGCTTTTCCCCGCTCTGCGCTCAACAATCAGTTTTTTGTCATTTGTGTTCTTTAATTTAGTGCTTTCTGTGGTAGATAGATTGTCTGCAGCTTCAGGCGGACTTCTCGGTTATTTTCTGATCAAAATCATTTTCTTCTTCTCACCCAGGGCGCAGTGGAAATAGGCTCCCTCAGATCTCCCATGGCGACATTGTAGGAATATATTTGACCCCCAGCATTTTTTTTTTTGAGCCCTTCTGAGAATCTCGCATGCTACATTCAAACAGAAAACCATGGATAAACAGCCTGTGATTTGATAAACACACGGTTATCAATTGGGACCAACAATATTATTGACTTGTGTTAGATGGGGACAATCTTGCACTAATGTACATTCCCAAAGATATTGAAGTGACTGTTATTTTGGATATATTGATTGTTGTGTTTTTGTGTTAATGTGTGCACATGTATAAATGTGTCTGTTGATTGTGTATATATAGGATATATACATATTTTATACATATTTTTATCTATGGGATTGTGGGAAACGATATTTCGATCTCTCTGTCTGTACACACAAACTGAAAGATTGACAATAAAGTTGACTTGACTTCAATCACTAAACGGAAAGTGTGTACAGACACACAGACACACACACACACACTAACCCTGAGCAGTAGATATCTGTTGTATTCGTCTCCAATGCGTCGGAGCTCTCGTCCGACTTCCTCCCTCTGCATGTCCCTTGCTGGGTTTCGTTGCTGCGTGCTAGAGGGGCTGAGAGATCGTCCTGAAACAGAGGGGAAAACATGCCCACCTTAGAATTAAGATCACACAGGCATGTATTATATGTTTCATTTGTATTAGCGATGCTGCTTTTTTTAAGGCTTATGCAAAAAGCGTTAAAAATAAACTTGTATCGACTTTTGATTAATAGTTTGAACATGCAGTCTGCATAAAGACACAAGTATATTTGATGACCTTTAGAAGCATTTTTTTTAAATGTTTTTTTTTCTTTCTTATCCAATTTTCTACTGCACTCCACTCATCCTGGTATTGATGTTCCCACTGTAGTGGACGCTGCGTCATTGTTGGACAGAAAGCTGCATTACACACACACACACACACACACACACACACACACACACACACACACACACACACACACACACACACACACACACACACACACACACCACACACACACACACACACACACACACACACACACACACACACACACACACACACCACACACACACACACACACACACACACACACACACACACACACACATCACACACACACACACACACACACACACACACACACACACACACACACACACACACACACACACACACACACACACACACACACACTATGTATGTACGGATCACTAGCATCCCATGATTTAAAGAGTGTGCACCTCACGCATTATGACAAAGATGTGCAGCTGACTGGAACATTACCCGTTCATGTACACGTGTGTTTCTGTGGCTAATCTGTGATATTTTCAGTCAATACTAAATCAGTATGAACAGTATGAAAGCCCTGACCTCTTATCGAGCTTCACTTATGACTCATTAAGGCTGTTATGAAACCCATGCTTATTATTTCTCACATCCTCCAATATTTATGAGAACTAAACAGCAATGTAATTATCAGTTCAACAGAGCACTGACTGCACCCCCCAGTGAGATGTGATGGAAACTATAGGCACAGATGTGGAAATACAGGAAGTGTTTTCTGTAAAATATTAGAAAGAGAACCAAAAGGTAAACTATGTCAAGTGATAACTGTAGAAATTAAATAATAAAAACACAGATAAGCATCTTTTTCGCTTGATGTGGAGCTCATTTTCAGCTATCTCTCAAAAAACAGTCTCATACAGTTATTTAAATGGCTTACAATTTTGGGGCAAGCAATAAAAAGCAAATAATTTAGAAAACAGTCTTATCTTATTCTCCTTAAGACATGGAGACATGCACTTATTAGCCAGCTTTGTTCTAAGTTATGTCGAAGCCTCAAGCTAAATCTATCTTTGTACAACTAGCCTCTAGGTTGTGTTATAATCAAACAGTGTTTATATAAATCGTAAAAGCCTTAAAACGGACTGTTCCACTGGCTGTGTCTGGAGAACCTGCTGCACGAGGACAAAGTATTGCGATGGAACAGCAAGATGATACACTGATCCGCTTTAGGCTTTTATCTCTCAATCACACAAACAGGCCAGCTTTCCTGATAACACAAACTTTTTTTAAAGGACAATACGTGTGTGTGTGTGTGTGTGTGTGTGTGTGTGTGTGTGTGTGTGTGTGTGTGTGTGTGTGTGTGTGTGTGTGTGTTTATCTCCTATCTGTGCTATCTGATGTACGTAGCAGATTGAATGAGAGGTGAAGGGTTTCAGTCTGCATCTGACAAAAGGCCTGCAAGCCTATTTTGACTGCTACACACACAGGACTATTTTGATTACATACTTAATGAATAACACACACACACACACACACACACACACACACACACACACACACACACACACTGTTCTGTTTTGACTGGTATCTTGTCTGGCTGGCTGCAGCAAGAGAATAAAAGAGACACAAGGCAATCAGTGAAGCTAATCACTGCTATTATAAAGAGAGGTTACAATAAGGAAGTTGTATTTTAGCATCCGGAGATAACTTTTGAACTTACAAAACACCATTTATCCTACAAATGCAGATGTGGTTGAAGCTTGGGTTTTAATAGAGGAGTCGGGGGGAAATTACAAAGTCACGCAATTCTAACATGCAGTATGTGAGTTTCTGCATTTTAAGTAAAAATTACGAGGAGAATCTGAGAAAAACAAATGAAAAGTTCCCCATGACAATGATATTAATAAACACTAGTGAATATATTTGTCACCCGCTGCACTAGCATTGTTAGGGGATTCACACCAAATCTCAGCCTCATGTCACAGCTTTGTTTGTTTCGAAGTAACAGGATGGGCAACTTTAACCGACAGCATTATAGCTCTAAGCATGCGTGTCTTCTTCTGTTTACTCGTCCGCAAAAACAGCAGACATAAAAACAGGGTCAGGGCAGTGAGAAGTGATTAATGTCTAATAAACACTTTGGTGGCTCCATCAGTACGAGCTGAAAACCACAGAGCCTCAATACACAACTCCTGGAAATGCACAAGCTTCAACTAAGGCCCCGGCTCCACGGGAACGCATACGGCAAAACGCATCGGAGTAACGCAAACGCAAAAAAGCTTCCGCCCACACGCAATATACACCGGATTGTGTCAAGCTCCACGAGACGGCTCCGTTTACATCCAACCGCTGGAAAAGCTGCAGTACATATGCCGAACCTGTACGTGGCGCTGTAACTTCCTCCACAAAAGCAGCAACTTCCTCCACAAAAGCAGCGAAGAAGAATGGTTGTCATGGCTGCACTTCTGTTTATTCTCCACGGTGGGGGCCGAGGGATCCGGGCAGAGTTTTTCGCCGGTCAACGTGTGTTAAAGTTTAAATCTTCCGGACAAAATTATAAAAGTGCCGGTCAAAGGTCTTCTTTGTTATTTATTGAGCTTTAAAACAAATGAATAACGACGATATAATGATATATAATCATAAAATACACGGAGCCTGTCTCTTTTTCCTCTCTTCTGACAGCGTCAGTGTCTGTCTCATGCAGCAGCTGATCCTGTAATGAGTGACCCGACAGTAAAAATAAACATATTTATAACTAGTTTAGGTAGTTTGAGAGGTAATTAAAATAGCTAAGGGTGATGATCTGACTTGAAGTGTGTGTTGTGCTCCCGCTGCATCACAGCGGGAGGAGCTGCGTGTCTCCCTCCTGTCAGATTAGACTTCACTCGCGTTTATGTCCATATCGAGATAAAGATAAATAATCTGAATTCAGTGTGCAGTGTACTTTTGCGGGGGTGAGCAGCAGAGGCGGGGAGAGGCGGGGCTATTGCGTCGTCATTATCAGAAACGGATGACCGTATAGGCGACCACACGGCCCCGTTGGACCCCCCAGAGTGCTCCGTTCCCAGATCTATCCACCTTTGGACCCGTTGTCGTTTGCAGGGTCTGTTTCTACGTTTCCGTTACGGCGTCGTCTAGCTTAAAGGGCTATACGCATGAGAAATATGCGGATACAACCCGTTTTCGTTCCCGTGGAGCCTAGGCCTAATACTTTCATTGCCTCTAGTTAGACTCCTTAAAAAGGGAAGTGCACCGATTTAACGCATGAAAGTGTGTCTTGGAGAGTACTACTGCGTATGTGAAAAAGATTTATGAAGCCGAACTCTGACAATTGCCTAAGGTGATGTCCATTGAGTCAGTTTGAGAAAGGAAAAAACCTCAGAGGTGTGGAGTTAGAAATAAGTGATCTTACACACTTATGTAGCCCGCTGCTTGAGGCTAGCGGCTCGAGGCTAAATTAGCAACTAGCATAACACATACAAACAGGCAGAAGATTGTTTTGCATTGTGGGTAATGTAGGCTATTGGTTTTGGCAAGGACAAAACATAACAAGTGTGGTTTTACTGCAACCAGTTGTATACCTTTTTGAATCCAACTATGTTTTGGAGGTGCTATGAATGCTAAATATGTGGAGTACGCTTAAATAACTTTTACTTAAACCTTAAATCTTGTACATCATCTTCAAATGCGGCAAATACTTTATAATCTTGAGAGAAATTACTATTTAATAGTTGTGTGTAATCAAATATTGGACTACATTAAGTAAATGTTACTTTGATGTGCGCACAGACAAATGTACGTTCTTTAAGAGAACTTTAACATAGCATTTTATGGCAACTAATCAAAACGTTATCAATAGATATTTCTGATAAACATTTCGTGGGGCAGTACTGAAAATGTTAAAGTTTGTTTGGCCCTCAGATTCGCTGAATGGTTGCTGCCTCTTCGTATTACTTTGATAGTGCCCGCAAACACACACACACACACACACACACACACACACACACACACACACACACACACACACATACACACACACACATACACACACACAAACACACACACAAACACAACATTGGGCGTAGCCAGAAGTCAAGACCCTTTTCCTTCCTGTAAATCTGACTCAGCAGGCTTCAATGAAAACTGTGAATCCAAGGCAGCAGTCCAACGTCAACAGGTCTAACAAACTCATTCACAAAACTCACCCGTGCAAAACAAACAAAAAGTACAATTGTCCTTACACAGTATCACAAAGTGTCATTATGTGTTAGTTTGAGATGAAAATAATCACTTAACTAAGGGGTTAGTTCAGGATTAGGACTTAAATGGTGACTAAAGTGAATGTCCACTGTTAATAGTTAGTTAATGTCTTTATTCCTTTCAAATGTTGATATAGTGGCGATCACGTTTGTGCAAATACATACATTGCTATTAGATTTCGATTGTATCCGCAGGGCTTTGGAAGGATTTTACACACTCATAAAAAGGCAGCAGAAATTATCAACAGGAAGAGGAGTATTACGATGGAACAAAAACACAGGAAATTTGGCAGCACTGAGGAGTCATAGTAGTGTTTTTTTATCTGCATGTTTCAGCGTGAATATCTTTGGATTTCCCTCTGAGAGCCAGGGGAGCTAGGGTTGTTGAGTATTAGTCAGTAATCCAGAATGTGAAACATAACATAGTGATTTACACATGTGCGAGTAAAACAATATTTTGGAAAGATGCATGAGTAAGTTATAGTAGGAGGAAAAGGAGAGTGCAAAAACCTCAAGTTTTTGTTCATCTTCTTACTCTCATTGTTAACATTTAACACCACCCGCCCTAACCCTCAACTGTTTGATAAAGGAAGCTTCAGGGAGTTTGTGCCGGGCTCTGGTTTCATATTTTGCAGCACATGCACCCACACAGCAGCAGCAGCTATTTCACAGAGAAAACAATGAAAAGCTAACTGGCTGATTCAGGTCAATCATTTTCACACATTACAGGTTCAGTTTTTTCAAAAGGGCGGGACACTACACTTACTTTAAACACTTCAATTTGAAGGAATGCATGCTTCTAAAATCTGATAAACTAGATTACAAAATGAGTAGTGGTTTAGCATTATGATTAAAAGTCATTGTTGCTTTTTGAGGAAAATCACTGACTGGAAGGATAGCAGCAAAACGACAAAGAAACGTGCTCAAAAGTGAAAACGTGTGCACAGTAATGATGATGGGAAGTGTTCCTATAACGGTACTCTTTCAAATATATGCTTTTGTGACATTAAATCCCTTTCCAGATAACTCTAAATCCTGCTTGGATTCAGTGTTTGGCAGCTGATCGTCGGTAATATATGCAAAGTGCCTTTGTATCCTCACCGTGCTGCACGCGCGTCCCGGGTCCACCCCCGTGCGCCTCAGCCACGCGCTGCAGGGCGTGTTTCAGCACCTGTCCGGTGGGGCTCGGAGTCTGCGTGGCTCGGTCAGCCGTCACTGCCTTAGGGGAGAGCGGGGAACCCGGCAGCGAGTCTCCCTCTAAGGAGAAATATCCACTGGATGTGCGGCGATTGAAGTTGAATATAGATCTCTTCCGAAAGACGTCGAGGCTGTCCGCAGCTGGGGAGCCGGCTCTGGTTCTGCACACGGAGGGCGAGGCCGGCTCTACTCCTCCGGGGGAATCGGGGGGACAGGAGGTTTGCGCTGAGGCTCCAGCGGCTCCCACGGGTAGTGGATCTGCTCCCTGTGGTGCAGTTACTGCTGTGGAGCCATCGGGGAGATTTGGTGGTCTGTTGGATGGTCAGAGCAGCACCGTCAGTGTGGGCTTTCATCACTCTGACTAAACAGCCTCGCGTCTGACACAACAGCTGGATGTGAAGCTGCAAAATACGGACTGTTTCCGAACTATAAACCGGATTATTTCACAGGGATCGCGATGAGTGCTGCGCCAATGAGGACGTGCCAACACAAACTATGTTGACTTATTTTATATTCTAGCACATGTGCCCCTGCAGCGGATACCCACAGAAACATTCAGAGTTGTGCAGTTAGGTTGTGCAGTTGGACAGGTTCACGTGCAGTGAGTGTGTTCCTGATGGCTAAAGTGTCCGCCCGGTGCGTCTCCATTGTTTAAAGAAGATGCTGATGCAGCAAATACTTATTTGACTGTATGTCTGTGTGTGCTCGGGGGGTGGGGTCATAAAGGAAGTGTCTGGAGTAAATTGAACTGCGTCACATATAACAGCCTGAAAGAAATCCGTCCCCGACCAGTCAGTCTGGGAATGTTAACGTTTTGTCTGATCGCACAGTTCTGGTTTTATTCAGGATTCCTTAGATTTCAAAAGTGTGGAATTATTAAGATCTTTTGGTGTAAACACATACTGCTTTGCATTGGGAACAACATTTTACGCCGTTGTTATTTTCAGGTTTAATCGCCAAATCTTGCTATTCTGATAAAAACGCCTCATCAAAAATATTTGACGCAGCGCTTCCTGTTGTCCAGACTTAACAGCAGCTTCCTAAACGCAGGGATTCCCAGCAGCAATGACCTACTTCTGTGCCAAATAACCGAAAATGATAAAAGACAGTTTTATTTTTACGCACAAGTCGTTATATACCGACAAAGACTTTTACGCACCTTACATGAAAAAAGTCGTCCTTTTGCCTTTTACGCATTATTACGCACGGAGAAACAGCCTCCACACGCGGGCTTTAAGTGGACGCCAAGTCTGTCCTGCAGCCATATGAGAATGTAAACTTTCCCTGTGGGTTTCGGTGCAGATCCGACCCTTCAGATGGGAGATATCAAGCGTGGCAGGCAGCACGTAGAGAATGGCACCCATACACGAACCGGCAAAAAAAACCTCGCCGAGAGGGAAACACGCTCCACCGGTACAACAAAAAAACTAACAAACATTAATTTGATCCGGTGCCGACGTGTTAAATGTCTAACGAGATCCGTTCAGCAGCACGTCTGCACCGTCACTGTGTTTACAGGGCACGGACAAAGCCTAGAAGTGCTTGTGCGCCTCCCACCGGGCAGTAAACCGTGTCTTTAACATGGATACATCACCGCTTATAGGCTACTAGAGTGGTGCATTAAACAGCGGCTGAACTCTGTGACCTCGAAGATAGCAAAGCAATAGGGAAGAAAAACAAAACACTTTTATTAAAAGGAACACCGTACGATTTCGTATAGTTTGCATAATAACTCCGGACTCCTACTGTAAATCCCTCTAGATATAAAACAGGAAAAGCGTCCTTTTAACATATATTAGGGGTATTGCGATGAAAAGAAACTGAAGATTATTCACTTCTGTTTAAAGTTACTTTTTACGCATGACAAACGCGTAAAAGAGATGTTTTTATGTCAAAAGAAAGCAAAACGGTGTAAAAGAAAAGCTATTATTAATTTCCTTTATTTAAAAACCCTCCCAAGTGGGTATGACTGCAGCTGCCGGTTTGAGGGAAACTGCATTTTTTTTTAAGTCGTTTGTTTAAAAGAACACACGATGCCTCTTTCCAAACTCACCTGGACGGATGGGGCATGTCAGTGTTAGGACATCTGGCTCCGAAAAAAGAAACACGATGAAATTAGCTCTGCGTAAATATGTCCAACAACTATTATTATTCCAAGTTCAAATAGGATCCACAGGTCGAAAGTGAGCTACACTTCTCAAAGTCGACATAGATCCCAGAGTTTTGGCTGAAGAGCAATGCTTGAATAATCCTCCTGGTCCGAGTGATCGTTGTCTGCATCTCCTTGCTCTCTCCCTGCCTTCTTCTTTTGCACTGCCTGCCCGAGCATCTGTAACTATTTAAGCGAAGAAACAACCCCGTCATAGAAACGTCATAACATAAGTCCAGCCCTGCTCAGAGTTGAATCCACCCCCACAGACTTTCTTTCTGTCTCTGTCTCCCCCTAGTGCTCAGAATCGGAGGAGGAAGCCCTCTTTAATGGTCACACATGCAGAGCACAGCATACACAGTTCTGCATTTATCATATTCACATTACCAGGAGCCACTGCTCCTAGTAATATGAATATGATAAATGCAGAACTGTGTGAACTGGGACCTCTGCAAGTAGCAGTCCACACTGTCTGTTCGGGGACTTGAACCGGCGACCCTACGGCTCCCAGTCTAAGCCCCTACTGACTGACCCACATGCCTCAGTGTGCAGGCGTCCCTCACTGTGAATCAAATATAAAACGAGTCATTTGTTTCTGTATAAATGTCAGGTTGTGGCAGATTTGTTGTCTGTTGATTACAAATAAAATGTCTGAAAAAAATCATTGATAAATGTTTATGAAAACATTATAAAGACAGACGATTCTCAGGTATGATCTACAAAATGTATTTTAAATGAATAATATAATAGCATGTAAGTGGCTAGTATTGTTTAAAGGCTTGGTGAATATGAATACCCCTAGATGTCATTCTGTTATTGGAAATATATATTCCACCTACAGGTTGGGAATAACTGCACATAAGTCATGGAGAAAGGATGGGCTTTTGGGAGAGTAGAATAGTAAGGGGACCCTGAGGAACATGAACACTGGAGCTCCGGTGTTCACTTTCCTCCACCAGGAGTGTCCAAACTCTCTTTGGCTTATCTGGATCTATGCCAAAGAGTAGAGTTGGCGTAAATTCAGACTTGTCCTGCGCAGATGGGAAGAAAGTAGAGTTGTTAAGGGACCATCTCCAGTTATTGTTTTCTCCTGATCCTAGGATAACTTCAAAAGAAAAAGTGTTAGGTAAAGATCTGGACTTGGGCGCCTGGAGGACTGTGAACATCCGAGCTACAAAACTCCAACAGCTGCAGGGCATGGGAGAAAAAGGAGTCACACACACACTAATACACATAAGCACATACACACAACTGAATCGATACAGACAGACAAAAGGGCGAGACAATCAATAGCATTTACATGTGATCAATACCGATCAATTCCTCAGAGTGTGGGAAAATGTGTGTGAACGGTTGTAAATATCTGCCTTGGTTAATGTCCACTTTCTATTGGTTTCTATTGTTGCACATATTAGTATGTTTTACTTGAAGGGTTATCAGATATGTTTAGTGGGATGATGATACTGAAGACATTGCCAATAGTCGTGAACATTTTTAAAAGGCATAGTAAAAAAAGATGGATATTTGTATGATTGCTGTTCTTAGCGCTGGACTGTGAATGTGGTTGGGACATCTTAAGGAAACTAAATAAGTTAAAGGCTTTAACGAGTCATATAACAGCAGGATGGAGCCCACACTTCATTAATCAACTCCATCAAGGTTATTTCCCCCAATAAAACATCCATACGCATTGGCGTTTAATTGTTTGTAAGTTGAGGAAAATAGAAATCTCAGCAAGAGCCATGAAATGACTATTTTTATTTATTTATTCGTTTATTTGGCAGGGACATTGCACATTAATGAACACTTAAAACATGAAATGTGCCAAGTGTAAATATGCCAGATTTAGCTTTGAGCTACTTTCCATCCGCAGTCCCTCACATAAAACATTAAGAAAATGAAAATTACAAACATAGCAGCACAAAGACATCAAATACAAGAAAAGTGCAAGAGTAAGAGTAGAATACCCAAGTATTTAGGACATGGTAATACAATATAGCAGCATCGATACATAAAGCGCAAGAGAAGATACCCCTGTATTAAAGTGCATTTAGTGGTGATCGCATGTCTGCTCTCTTGTTCTAGTCTTTTTAGTTGACAAACTAGGGAGCAATCTTACATTCGTACACCTGCAATAAAAGCACTTTTCACAAAAAGGAGAGGACCATATTTAATTAAGGAAAGAGATAATTTGGGACACATTTGATATTGGCAAGGAGACTGTTCAAACTTGATTGTTACAGTGTTTTTTATCTATGAGCTAAGTGGAATTGGCATGCCATTAGAGAAATTGCCCCGAGGGTCCTGCAGGATCAAGTGCCTGAGAGGCGTCGTGCATGCCTTTAGGACACAGTATCACTCCCATCGTCTCCCACTTCTGCTGATTACTGAGAGGACGAGATAAGACAGACGGGGTTTTCTGCCTGGTTGGTTTCATACAAGTGCATTTACTGTAAATGCTTCCGGATTTATAAAGACGTTTATGGTTGCCTGTGTGTCTCCCCATGCAAATTTGCATGCAAATCATTGTTGGAGCCTTGAACCGCTGGAACATGAAAACATGGCAGAGTTGAATGGCCTCATTCAGCAGCCCTGAGGGAATTCAGGGTGATTACAGATTACTCAATGCAGTAGACAGACACTGTTAAACACTGTTTTAAAAAGAGCTGTAAATTAGGCTGAAGTGCAAACGCTACCATTTTGTACAAGTGAGCAAATAAGCTGATGGCCATATATCAGCTGAGTCATGATGGCTTGATACATTCAGACAATACGTGACCAATACTGCGTACTATGTTCATAAAATCTATCGAGTTTCTGTAGATGCAGTGGCAGTCCATTACATATTTCATCATTGAGAAAACAGTCACGGTAACAAACACATACGAGCTTATTTTACTGTTGTGAGTATAACAATTAGATTGAAATCCCTCCTCCCCTTGCGCTTCAGAAGAGTGTTCATTACAACATATTGACCCAGTTGTGGAAGTGAGTGAAGCGTTACAAATGGACGAGTAAGGCTGATCAACACAGTATTTTCTGAGAGACAGTGTGTGAAACAACTTGTTTATAATGGTGTAAATGTTTTATATAATCAGAGTGTAACACATTTCTTGGTACAAACACTTAAAACTAATAGCCGCAGCCATTATAAAAGTGACCTAATATAAAAGAAACAGTAAGAGATCAATAAATGAAACACTTATACACATTCTCACAGGGTGTGTGTACGCATGTGTTTAACAGACATTGACAACTGGTCATTGAGTGCTAATGGAAAGCCAATCAGTTCCCACGCAGTGGACCATAAGCCCCCCCCCCCCCCCATTCAGACAATACTGACCACCTGGACCAGTGTCTGTGTGAGTGTGTGTGTGTGTGTGTGTGTGTGTGTGTGTGTGTGTGTGTGTGTGTGTGTGTGTGTGTGTGTGTGTGTGTCCATAACATATTGACTGGTTGTAATGTGAGAAGTCAGGACACAATAGCGCTGTAACTCTGAAGACCTAACACCATGCTGAGAGAGATCACAGCTATGTGTCACAAAGAAACAAAAACACACACTCACACACACATGCTTTAACTTCAGTATCACTTGTCCATCTCTACAAACGGGTAGTCATTTAAAGGCGGTTAATAATAAATAATATGTCTAATTTATGCCTGGTTAAGCCTTCAATGTATGCCCGTGAGGCAACTAGTATGTGCCCAAGTTAAACCAATTTTTGGATGTGAGGCTCTGCAGTGGAAACACAAAGAAACTAGTTTGCAATTGGGCATCACCTCATAACCGGCTCATTACCTGCCTTGGAGAAAAATAAGTGTAATAAGTGCTCATACTGCAACTTAAACGGGGTGTTTTCTCTTTGCATATGCCTCAATTTCATTAAGTCCTGATGTTAATCATCTGCATGGACATGGAGATATGTAAACACATTAGTCCCATTTAATGGCTTTAATTCTAAATGTGTGTGCACATTGGTAGAAACACAGCAATACATGTGTGGTTACTGAACTCTCAGTAACCACACATGTATTGCTGTGTTTCTACCAATGTGTGCTGCATTACAGCATGTCTAGATACAAACAGGTGTTCAGAATCGTTTGGAAATTGACAGATAAAATCCAACGCTGCTTGACCGTGCTTTGTATACTGGTTTGCACCAACCCACTGTTCAGACACAAAACCGTCTCATTTGAATGCATGGCACAAAGTCCCTTTAAACTAATCTAAATCTAAACACACTACTAATCTCTGTGTGTTTGCATGTCTGTCTTTTTCTCTGTTTCATTCGACTTTTTCCCCGTCAATCCATGCCTCCTCTCTCGATCTTTATCTTACAACTCTGCCTGGAACTCCATCTATTTATTTCCATACAGTATTAAACTGTGAAACACGATACGTTGTGCTGCCCGAAAAAGATTGCTGCATGTATGAGTGTGTCTGTGTGTGTGTGTGTGCTCTGCTTGTTGATCTGTTCCATCAGTGGTGTGGTAGTACAGTTGTTCTCACTTTGCTGTGATCCACCAGCAGTGACAGACACACTCCTGTGCACACAAGCATGGACACACACACACATACCTTGTGACATGACTAATGGCCCCGGCTCCACGGGAAAGCATACGGCAAAACGCATCGGAGTAACGCAAACGCAACCGCAAAAAACCTTCCGCCCACACGCAATATACACCGGATTGTGTCAAGCTCCACGAGACGGCTCCGTTTACATCCAACCGCTGGAAAAGCTGCAGTACATATGCCGAGCCTGTACGTGGCGCTGTAACTTCCTCCACAAAAGCAGCAACTTCCTCCACAAAAGCAGCAAAGAAGAAT